CCCCCCTCTCATGTGCTCTCTCTCATTCTCTCTCTCTCAAATAAATAAATAAAATCTTTAAAAAAAAAAAAAGATCTGAACAACTGGACATAGGGAAATGGTACAGAGGAAGAAGGAAATAAGTTAGTAAAAGCAAGGAAATGGGACCAAGAAAAAAGGCCAGTGATTTTGAAATTATGACAGGATGTGCATAACATGTTTTCATCATTGTTATGTGGATTTTCTTTTCCTTACAACAATGGGATAATACTACAAGCCCTGTTCTGCAACTTGCTTCTTTTCATATAACAATAAGTCTTGGAGATCCTTCCATGCCAGTATACAGAGATAGACCTTCTTCTTTTGATCTGTAAGAGTATTCCATAGTAGGGGTGAATCATGAAGGAAAAGCTGCTCTCTATTGATGGACATGAAGGTTGTTTTAATTTTTTGCTATTATAAACAATGCTGCAGTGAATATCTTTGTGTATGTCTGGAAGTGGTTTTGAAGGATAAGCTCTTAAAAGTTGAATTGCTGGGCCAAAGGAATGCACATTTTGTTTAAAATGTAGCTAAAAGTTATTTCTGTTGCTTTAACATTTTTATAGACTGGCTAAAAGATTATTCCTACTCACATAATCCTGTCTTTATTTTGAGTAGCATACATCATGCAACCTTTTCATTAAGAGCTGGCTGAGAATGTGATCCTACAAGGGCATGTGACAAAGAGTTGCGCAGTATGGTTTATGCTTGCAGTTTGGGACTGAATGTTTTAGAAAAGACCTCTGGTTGGGGGACCATCTCGTAGTAAAGCCTTAGAGAAATCTACCTCTAAGATATGGTTCTCAGGTTAGAAGTATATGCACATGTAAGATTCTGGGGACAACTAACAAAAAGGTGCCATAAAAAATCGCACCAATTTGCACTCCAGTCAAGGAATGTGAGAGGTTCTGTTTCTTCACAACTCTTTCAATCCTCTCAATTTTGGCACTTTAAAATTGGTACTTCGTTATTGTTTTAGTTACATTTCTTCAGCTATTGGCAAGCTCGAGTATCCTTTCTCATTCATCAGCTAATGGATGTCGATTTCTTTGCTGAATTGCCAGATCACGTTATTTTTCTATTCTAAATGTGGTATACATCTTTTTCTTATTGATTTCCAGGTGATGATGTATAGACAGAGATATTAACCTTTGCCTGATATCTATGTAGCAAATACCTTTTCCTAGCCTGTTATGTTTCAATTTTGTGTATAGTATCTTTCTCCACACAGGAGTCCTTAACTTCACTGTAGCCGAAATTACTGTTCTTTACTTTATTGCTTCTGGGTTCTTCCATCATGCTCAGAAAGGCTCTTCCACCCTAATATTATAAAAATATTCTGTATTTTCTTCTGGTACATTTATAATTCTATCCTTTGTATTTGATTTTATAGGAGACAGGGGTTTAACTTCACTTTTTCCCAACTGATAAGCCGATGGTCCTATCCCACTTACTGAGTCCCTACTGATTTGACATGTGTTTTTTTTTTTTTATCATAAATTAAATTCCCCTATGAATATATGGGTTTGTTTCTAAAATCTCTATTTTGTTCCATGTATGTCATCCTCTATTTCTGTGTTAATATATGTAATTTCTGCAGCTTTATGGTAAGTTTTGTATTTAATAGGACAAGTTCCCCCTCACTGTTCTTCTTTTCCAAAATTTTCTTTGTAATCCATGGGCATTTACTCTTCCAAATGAACTTTAAAATCCAATTGCCCAACCCCCAAAGAAAATACCACTGAAATTTTAATGAGAAATGTGTTGAACCTTTTGACCAAACTGAGGGGAAAAAATTGTCATTTTTACCATATTCAATCTTCCCATCCAGGAACAGGATAGGACGCTTGACTGTTCAAGTCTTCCCACAGCCTCTGATGAAATTTTATAGTTTTCTACAGAGAAGCATTTCATGTTTCTTGTCAATTCCTAGGAATTTTATCATTTTTGCTATTATTGTGAAGGAAATCTTTTTCTATTTTTTCTTCTAATTAGTTGTTTCTGGTATTCAGAGACGCTAATGGTTTAGGTGTATATTTCTCTTGTATCTAGCCATCTCACATAATTTTCTTATTAGTTCTAATAAATTTTTCCTTTTATTCTCTTTGATTATCTAAGTAGACAACCACATCATCTTCAAAGAGTGCTAATTCTGAGTCTTTCTTTCTAACATTTATACAACTTATTTCTGTTTTTTAACCCCACTGGTTAAAACTTCTAGAAAAAAATGTTGGTTAGTGACAGTGATGGCGGTCATACTTCTTTTGTTCCCAAACTTAATGGCAATTTATCTAGTATTTCACTATTACATTTGATGATTGTCTTTGGTTTCTGATAAAAAATTCTTTACCAATTTAAGGATGTTTTCACTGATAGCTTACTGTACTAGTTATCTATTGCTGTGTAACAAATTACCCCAATACAGCAAGAAATAACTAGGACACTTACTAAGAGTTCTAAAATCAAGAATTGATGTGTAATTCTATCAGATTATTTTTTCAGCATTTATGGAGATAGTTATATGTTCTATTTAATCTATTAATGTAATCCATTACAATCACAGCTTTCCTAATGTTGAACAATTCCTGCCCTCCTGGGACAAACCTTCATTTGTCAAGATACATTCTTCTTTCAATACACTGATGGATTCAGTTTGATACTCTTTTATTTAAAATATTTGTGACTGTATTAATATATGAGATTAGGCTATAGTTTTCATTTTTTTTTGTCTAAACCTATCCAGTTATACTAGCTTTCTGGAATGAACTAGGAGGCTGTCCATTTTTTTCTATTATCCGATCTTTCCAGATTTGATAGAACTTCCATCATACCAACTGGGCCCTGGTACCATTTCTGAAGAGAAAACTTTGACCATCTTTTTAACTTCTTCTATATTGTTCTATTCTAGTCAGCTTTTCTGTCATTCCTTAAGTCATTTCGGTGATTTATATTTTCCTAGAAAACCACCCATTTCATCTAGAGTTTCACATTTATTGGTATAAAATTATACAAAGCATCTTTTATGACTTTTTTCATCTCTTCAAAATCTGTGGCTAAATCCCCTTCACCATACCTTATTTTATTTATGTCTTTCTTGCCTTTTTCTCTGTCATATCTGTCAGAGGACTGTCTGTCTAGTTTACTGGTCTTTTAAAAAACCACCTCTTAGTTTATCAAGTCCTTTGTTTTCTATTTCATTAATTTCTGGTTTTATCTATAATAATTACTTTATTCTGCTTTCTTTTGGTTGTTCTTTTTCTAAATTCTTGAGTGAAATAATTAGTTCATTTAATTTAAACTGTCTTGTTCTCTAATAAAAGCATTTAAGACTATAAATTTTCCTCTGGGAATCCCCCATGGTCACATCCCGTAGGTTTTGGTATATAGTATTCCCGTTGACATTTATTCCAAATAGCCTATAATTGATACTTACCCTAAATAGTCTATAAATTCCATTCTTATTTCCTCTTTCACCCAAGTATTTTTTTCAACTTTCAAGTAGGCCTGACCTTTTTTGCCGTTGCTGTGAGTATTTCATGATATTGCATTATAATTAGAAAATGTAAAATGTGATTTCCAATTACCTTGGAAATAATGTTGTTCTCAAAGGTGTGGGCAATTTTTCCCTCTGCCTAAACACCCTTCCCCATCCTATCCAACTGGCCAACTCTTACTCATCCTTCAAAGCAGCTCAAATATTACATATTCTAGAACCAACCGCTCCCACTTTTGGGGGCAGGTATCTAGGGAAGGATTTTTAAGGAAGGACAAACTACAAACAGAATCTGAATGTCCTCTTTGGTCTCCTACCTGGTCTCCCAGTCACTCTCCTCACATGCTCAGACATCCATTCCACATTCATTCCAGGGGCTAGAGGGAGATGGGGGAGGGGGTCTGGCAATGCTATGGCAGATTTGTCCGGAAGGGTTTAGGATGGGGGGAGGGATGGGTCTAGCTCTTACCTGCTCTCTGCCAGCCTGCCTGAGGGGGTAAGCTTCATGGAGTCAAGGACCTGAGTAGGACAGCAATACTGGTGTAGAGTATGAGACGCTGTGGACCTGAGAGACAGCAAGAGACAGAGAGAGAAAGAGAGACAGAGAGAGAGACAGGGAGGGAGGGGAGAGGCAGGGTGGGGAGTAAGGACAAGGAATAGAGAGCGAGTGGGGAAGGGGAGAAGGAAGACTGGGAGGAATGGGTGGTAGAGGATTGGGAATGGAAGAGGAGGGTTGGGAGGTGGGGAGGCAGGGCAGGAGGGAGAGAAGGAAGAGAGGGAAGGAAGGAAGGAAGGAAGGAAGGAAGGAAGGAAGGAAGGAAGAAAAAAAGAAAAAAACCACAAAGTCAAGAAAGAGAGGACGGCACTCGAACCACAAACAGAACACAACGACAACAGGGGGCAGCAGAGACAAAAGAGCCGGTCTGGGCCTCCTGTGATCCAGGTGACTCCGTGGGGACCTGAGCCACGGAGACACTGGGACACCACAGCAGGGAAGGGGGAAGGGAGCCCTCCTCACACCAGACGCCACACGGGTAGGGAAGAGGGGAGGGGAGGGGGGATGAAAGAGAAAGGGAAAAGCTGCATGGGGGGGGCTCCCCCTTATAGAAGACCCCTTATAAGAAGGGAGGAAGGGATGGAGAGCGAAGAGCTCTGTATCCAAAGAGGGGGAAGAACCCAGGCCAGGTGGGTGGAGGAAACACTGTAGGAGGAGAGGGAAAGGGACAGAGAGAAACCGAAAGAGACAAGGAAAGGGTGAGACAGAAAAGGAGAAAGAGCAAGAGGAAGACAGAGAAAGGGCGAGACAAAAGACACAGAGAGAAGACAGGGAGAGGCAGAGAGCGCCAGAGCAGAGGAGAGGCGAGGCGAGGGCGGAGGAGAGCTGACAAGGTCTCAGTGGTCTAGGTGACAGGTTGGGACTGGGGCTGAGTGGGTGGGTGGGGCCCAGTGAGCCAGGGGACAGGGTGGTTCCCAGCAGGAGTCTTGGCTTCCAAGGCCAGTGCTGTGCCCCCAGCCCAGAGCAGGGCCCACACTCCACCCTGCAGCGCTCTGCCCCCACCCCTAGTGCAGGGTCCAAAGGCCCCTGTGCCTCCTGCTTCCCATGATTAAAGTCCAGAGAATGGGTGGTGGGGGGAGCTGGACAGGAGGTTAGTGAGGCTGAGGGCCTGGTTTATGCAGTGCAGGGTGGATGCTGGGAGTGCAGCTGGCCCTTCCAGGTCAGCCAGCCCCTGTCCCCCACAAGCCCCCGAAGGCAGGTTGCGGGTCAGGGCCTAGCCATTCCAGAGCCCAAGTAAAGACCAGGAAATGTGGCTGCAGGCCATTCCAGCTACCCAGCATCTCACTTGTGATTTTGAGGATGCCCAAATCTTAGATCCTTCTAGAGATCTTAGAATCTGAGACCCTGAAGTAATCGTCATCATCAGAACGACTGTTTCTCAAGTGCCATCTAGGTGCCCGTCACCAGCCCCAGTTCTTGACTCATTATCTCATTAAACCTGAGAAGCAGAGCCCCTTGGGCTGCTGGAATGTTCGCCTCAGAGACTCTTAGCGGCCGTGGGGAGACCTGCAGTGCTAAGCCAGGCCAGAATGCCAAGGCAGCCACAGTTACACCCCTCATGGGCCACGGACTGTGCTGCTCAGGGCTCCAGAGTCCTCGCAGGGCCGGGCACCCAGATGTCCGCTCTCGCTAACTCCCTCCCCAAGCCAAAGGCCTCCAGGAGTCCAAGAGGGGAAGCCAGGAACCAGGAAGCCAGGAGGCTGCTGAATCAGCAGCCCAAGGACCGAGTCCAGGCCGGGGCAGGGAAGGAGGGGGTCAGGCTGCAGGGTGGGAGGGGGCGCTAGGCTCCTACCTGCTACTCCTCCCGGGGGGCTCCATGGGTCTGGACCTGTCCCGAGGGCAGGCCCCCTGGCCAGCCGGTGCCTCCACTGTATCACCACCCCCTCCTGCCCAGCCCTTCCCTAGAAGGAGGAACCAAGGAGGCGGGGCCAGCCGGGCGGTAGGCCAGACTGCAGCTGGAAACTCTGCTCCTTCCCCTGCTCCCCCAGGAGGGCTGGGAACTCCAAGTAAGAGGAAGCAGTTTTGAGAACTCACAGTGACTCCTCCGGGCCAAACCCAGGCTAGGCTCCCTACACGCATCTTTGCTGGAATCTCCCTAAGCACCCTCTCAAGTATGTGTCACTAGCCCTATTCTCCTGAGGAGAAAACTGAGCGGGAGAGAGAGACAGTAAGTCACTGGGCACAGGTTCTACAGCTACTAAGCGGCAGAACCTCAAGATCAGGGCCTGGTTTGACCATTCCCCGGATCGGGATTCTGTCCCCTCGGCCATATTGCTGCCTCGTGAATACAGAAAACTTTCCACAGAAGCTTTTCAACAAACATTCTCATCTTCCGCACAAAGAGACTCTGTTTTGTTGTTGTGCCCAGATGCTCCAGATCAAGTAATATTTAAATCAACCATTTGGGGAAATCAAGATGAGGCCCTGGCCAAGATTCCTGAGCACCGCAATAAGCTCTCATTCTCTTCTGTGTTGTTTCCTGGACTGGCTAAGAGAAATGTTCCGTGAACAGAAAAGCAAAAAAAAAAATCAGAAGAAACGCTGTTCTGGATCAAGAGGCTCTTCTCCCAAGGAAACTGCCCTGCCTGACTTGACAGATGGGGAAACTGAGGCCTAGAGAAGGGCAGAGTCTTGCTAATGTTCACATAGCCAGTCAGACTAGAATCCAGATGCCCTGACTCCCCACCTACCTATCACAGTAATCTCTCTCTCTCTTTCTTTCTCCTCCACATGGGTGGGGCTGGAGAAAGGAGAGAATTTGGATGGTGTGAAGGACTGAGGGGGGGGGGTGCTCCTGAAGAGTCCCACAGCTCCAGCTCAGAGCGCTCCTGTCATTTCACCGCCCCAGAGCCCAGGTCCCTGGCTGTTCTGAGCAGAAGGCGGCCCTGGGAGGGGCCAGGGGGGCAGTGATCTAGAAGGAATAGGAACTGACAGGCAACAGGCCAGCCTTCCTGTCTTCCTGCCTCCCTGCCGGGGCAGCTGGTTCCTCTCAAGAAAGCCAAAGCCGCTGAGAGAGATAGGCCCTCCAGACCACCGCAAAGTTGGCATCTGTGGGCCGGTTGGTTGTGGCCTCCTCTTCCTCCTCCCACCCTCTAAAGCCCCTGGTCCTCGGGGCTCAGCTCTGGCCTCAACCCCTGCTTTTTTCTTTCTCCTTCAGCAGCCCTTCTTGCTCCTGCAGCCAGCTGTGCCTTATGCCCAAGCACCCCTGACCCAGACCTTCCTCTTGGCCTGGTAGGAGCTGAGAGATAGAAATTCTAGTCCTGGCCTTAAGGCTGAGGTTGTGCGACCCGGGGCAAGCTCCTTCCCCTCTGTAGTGAGGCAAAGAGCCTACACCCGGGTGCCTGGTAGAGCGAGTGCCAAGTCCCAGCTCTACCACTTTCTAGCTGGATAACCCCTCTGAGGCTCAGTTTCCTTATCTCTAAGAGACAAGTGGCAATTTCTACCTCATGGGTTCTTGTGAGAATTCAGTGAAACGAATGTGCATATATAATGAAGAGTCAGCTTGAGCCTGAAAGAGTCTGACCCCTCTCCCAGGAAGACAGGGGAGACCCATGGGGAAGCCTATTTGTCTCAGGGAAAGGGAGAATTCTCGGAAAATCTCTCTGAGCCACTCCTGGAATTCAGACATATCTGAGCATGTTGGGTAGACTCATGGGATGACCCAGTGGGCCGAAAGGAAGAGGAATTAAGGGTGAGGAGCTTGACCCCAGCTGCAGGGCACTGACGGGGCCTTCACTCAGTTATTCAACAGATCCTGTGGACCAGGCACTGGGCCTGATCTCATGGAGCCTGTATCTGAGAGGAGACAGACATTCACCAATGAATGGAGCGAAGCTGGGCAAAAAGTGGAGGTAGCAGGGGAGAATGTTCCAGGCTGAGGGAACAACTTGGACAAAGGACCTGAGGCGGTATTTCCAGGAACTGCGAGGAGGCCAATGCAGCTGAGTGGAAAAAGCAAAGGGGAGAGAGGCGAGACTAGAGACGTAGGCAGGGGTCCAATCATGCAGAGCCTCGGAGGCCACGATAAAGTTTCCATATTGATACTAAGAGCAGTTTGGCAGGCTGTGGTTCGTGGGTGCCCCCACTGTGGGGAAGGGGGAGTATCTCTGAAGCCCCTGAAGTTGTATGGAAAATATTAACGAGTAACAGCATGTCTGGGGGGAGAGCAGACGGGTTTATGATCCCCAGAGGGCAGGGAAGCTCCTAATATGATTCTGTTCACTTAGCGCCAACCATAAGCTAGGGGCAGGCAGCCTAGAACCTTCTCTGAGCTGGCTGCTACCCCCCCAACCCTCCAGCTAGTCTCAGCCTTCCCCGCCGCCCCCCCCCCCCATCTTCAATCAGTGCTCCACCCAGACAGAAGCATTTACATTCTCAGCCACAGGGCTGTCCAAGCCTTCTCTTTGTCTTGGCTCAAAAAGCCATTCCCCACCCCGCCCCCACTCCCCCCTCTCCACCTGGCTAGCTCCCCCTTGTTCTTCACAAGTCAGTTTAGAGGGTGTGCCCTCTGGGAACTCGCCCTGACCCTTCCCCTGTTTCCTTCCCTCCCCACGCTTGTCTCAGCATCGTCTGTTCACATGCTGATGCTCCTTCTGGGCCAGAGGCCCTGTGGGGACAGGGGCTGGGGCTTATTTATCCCTGTGTCCCCAGCACCCAGCACAGGGCACCTAGTCACACAGGTCAGTAAGTGGTGGTTGGGGGTAGACAATCCACCCTGTGGCGGAGGCTGCAAGATGGGCTGCTAGACACTAGAGGGCACTGCGGTCACTGGAATCCTGGCCAGAGGCTGCCCAGGCAGACCCAAGGCAGGCCCCAGGACCAGGTGTGCAGGGAAGCAGGGAAACTCTGCTCCTAGGGCCTGCAGCTCCTCAGCTCTGGGCCTAATTGACCAGGGTCCCCGTTACAGCCTCCCAAATTACCTTCTGCTCCCGTTCCAGACCATTTCTCACGACAGCTCCTTTCCTCTGCAGATACAGCTTTAGTTCTTCACAAGTGCAGGCGCCAAACACGCCTCCCACAGTCGTGGCATACATTTTCTGCTCTGCCCCAGACACTCTCCACTTCACCTCACCCCACCCCACTCCTCACCTGGCCAACTCCTACTCGCCCTCCAAGTCTCAGCTTAGATGTCTGCTTAGAGAAGCCTCCCTGACTCTCAGGCTGGGTTGGGTACGCTTCTGAGATGCTCCCGCCCTGCGCTTCCCCGGTTATAGTCTGTTTTCTCGTCTGTTTTCCTACTGGCCAGTGAGTTTCCTCAGAGCAGGACTCTATTATTCATCGTTGTATCAACTGCATCTAATTTAGCACAGTGCCTGGCACATTGGACGTACCCAACAAACCATCCTTGAGTGAGTGAATGGATCGATGGATGAATGGATGGATGGGTGGGTGGACAGGTAGGTGGGTGGGTGGATGGATGGATGGATGACTCTGGCAAGTCACTTTACCTCCACAGGCTTCAGTTTCCCCACAGCTGTGAAGTGCACACAATCACCCCTACTTGACAGGGTGGCCAGGAGGCTTAAAGAGAATGTGTGCCGAATGCTCCCTAACAGTACCTAATACACAACAGACATTTTGTGGATCAAAGCAATTATTAATATTTGGAATAGTAAAAAAACAGAAAAAAAAAAAAAAGGAGGGGAGGGGAGAAATTGAAGGAGACTCTGCCCTGAACCTGGGATGATCTCTCCCACTCACATTTACCATTTACACGTGGAAGATGGCTTTAACGATCATGAGAAAACTATCATTCTTGTTTAAAAATAACAACAGCACCTTCCGTGTGCCAGGCCAGAAACAGGAGGCCCCTGGGGAGGCGGTGGGCAGCCTCTAAATCTCAGCCAGAGGATGTGAGGCCAAGGCCAAAGTCAGAGCCGTGGGCATTGCCCCTGCGTCTGGAGAGCAGTCATAATGGGCACAGCTGGTTCCAAACTCTTTACTCATAGGTGAAAACTTGTCTAAGAGGTCATTAATTCTCTCTTAATTAATGTAAAAACTGCAGGGGTTTGTATTAATGGAAAAGTAAGCTCAAGCGTCAAGCTGATAATATTGATAATGTGTGCTTGTAATTATATACTGCAGATAACTATAAATTCAGTTGCTGTGCTAATAAAATGTGAAAATTCCCAAAGCACCCAAGAACTTGGTAGCAGCTGGTATCATGAGCAGCATTTATGCCAGTTGTTCTGAGGCTATGAAAATCACCACACACTGGTAGCAATGGTAATATTCACTGTGCACTTAAAAGCTGTTCTGGCATTTAAAGGGGGGAATTATTTCAATAAAATAGGGTGTTTTGAGGCAAGAGCACGGAACTTGAAAGCACAGTGAGGAAAGGTCAACTTGCATTAGAGTAGGAGCGGAAGTCTTGATGGATGGGCAACCTTAACCACCATGGGCTCTGAGCAGACTGTCCCCGCCCCAGGCGCTGACCTCACTTGTGTACCCAGAAAACTGCTCACTGTGAAAAGTATTTGACCTCTCTCTCCTCATCCACTTCTAAGGGAACGGACTCCCACCGACAGCCCCTTGCTGTCTTGTGTTACCACAAGCTGGACAGAAACACTGCGGTCATAGGGGATGGACGCTTAGGCTAGAAGGTCACGTAGCCTGCGGGTTGGCAGTCAGAGCAGGTCGTGGGAAAGCAGAGGAGGCTAGTCCAGAGAGACGAGTCAGTGACAAAGAGATGACAGGGACCAAGCAAGCCATGAGATACATAGACGAGACATGGGCCCGGGAGGTGCAGAGGGAGAGAGAGAGAAATCTTGGTCCTTGACTTCGTGGTCCTGCTTCCAGTTGGTGTGAGGCCTGGCTATATATACACTTCATTTCTCAGATTCTGTAAGAGGTAGTCTCACAATAGTCCCCCACCACCACCACTCTTTATTCTGGAG